GTACATGGACACCGGTGCCACTCACCATATCGCCTCGGATCCAGGTACTCTTTCTCATGTTCGTAATCATTCTTTAAATTCATCATCATATATCACTGTAGGAAATGGTTCTAAAGTTCGCACTACGGCAACCGGTAATTACAATTTTCCCACATCCCCTCCCCTTAACTTACACAACATCCTTGTCTCCCCCCACATAATCCACAACCTTATCTCAGTTAGACAATTCACCCGTGGATATAATTGCTCAATTGAATTTGACTCCACTGGTTTTTCTGTGAAGGATATGCTGACGGGAACCGTGATTCATTGGTCCAATAATGCCGGGCCCCTTTATCCCATGAGCCAAACAGCCGCCCATGCCCAAGCCCAAGTCAACGTTGCCACCAGAAGCCTGGAGCTCTGGCACCGTCGCCTTGGTCACCCGAGCCTTGCCGTCCTTCGTGGAGTCTCTAGTCTCTTGCCTACTTCTTCGTTTAAACATTTACAGAACTCTCTTTGTCATGCCTGTCAGTTGGGAAAACATGTTCGTCTCCCATTTGAGTCATCGCGTCGTATTTCTACTTTTCCTTTCCAGCTTTTACATACTGATTTGTGGCAATTGCCTGTTACTAGTGTTACTAGTTTTAAACATTATATGTTACTCTTGGATGATTATTCACATTTTTTTATGGGTATTTCCTCTTAGAAGTAAATCTGAAGCTTGCTCACATATCCATACTTTCATAGCTTTTGTGAAAAACCAGTTTAACACTACTATTAAAGCTGTGCAATGTGACAATGGTACTGAATACAGAAATAGGCCCCTACGTAATGTTTTTGACTCTCTGGGCATTCTTTTTCGCTTCTCCTGTCCCCACACCAGTCAGCAAAATGGACGGGCAGAACGCACAATTCGTACCATAAATAATACCGTTCGCTCCCTTTTATTCCAAGCCCAACTACCACCCACCTTTTGGGTTGAAGCCCTATATATGGCCTCTCATCTTTTTAACCTCCTACCCACCACCACTCTCCAAAATCGTACCCCCCATGAAGCTCTCTATGCTCTTAAACCCACATACTCCCACCTCCGTGTCTTTGGCTGTCTTTGCTATCCAAATCTCTCTGCCACAGCACCCCACAAACTCGCTCCTCGTTCAGCCCGTTGTGTCTTTCTTGGATACCCGTCTAATCAACGAGCGTACCGCTGTCTTGATCTCGTCACTCACAAAATTATCATTTCTCGCCATGTGACCTTTGATGAGCATTCCTTTCCCTACTCTCATCCGGTCTCACCCGCCGATCTTGATTTTC